TTTGTGTGTGTGTGTATAATATATATATATATATATATATATATATATATATATATACACCTTGCTACGTGTACCGCATTAGGCTAACCGAGACTTGTAATTTGCACTTATATATTGTTGCTCTTTTGTTAGTTTTGACTGCTTTTATTGTCCTCATTTGTAAGTCGCTTTGGATAAAAGCGTCTGCTAAATGACTAAATAAATAAATAAAAATAAAATTTGAAGTGAGAATCCCATTTGTCCAGATGCCCAGTCATGAAGACCAAAAAATTAAATTTCTGTCATCATTTACTCAGCCTCAAGTTGTTCCAAATGGCTTTCTAACTTCCACACAAAACAAAAAGAGGAATTTAGATGTATCTTCATACAGTTTTTTACATGCAATGACAGATCATGATGCCCACAAGCTTCTAAATAAACCATTAAAGTTGTGTATATGACTTAAGCACAATATTTCAAATCTTTTTAGTCCATATGAGAGCTTTGTATGAAAGAAAGTTTCCGCCACTGAATAAAAAATTAAAAAGGTAATTGCGACTTCCGATCTCTCAAATCTGAATTCTCACAATTGCAAGTTTACATCTTGCAATTCTGGCGTTTTTTCCAATAATTACCAGATGTAACTCACAATTGAGAGTTATGAAGTCAGAACTGCTAGTTATAAAATCAGAATTGTGAGATATAAACTCACAATTGTAAGAAAAAGTTTTTTTTTTTCTTCAGAATTGGACTTCATAACTGGCAGTTGCACGTTTATACCTCACAATTCTGAGAAAGTAGTCAGAATCACGAGATTTAAACTCACAATTGTGAGGAAAAAGGTCAGAATTGCAAGTTTACATCTAAAAAATCTGACTTTATAACTCGCAATTGAGAGTTTATATCTCACAATTCTGACTTTATTTCTTGCAATTTCAAGGTTATATCATGCAATTCTGAGAAAAAAAGGCCCAATTGCAAGATGTAAATTCACAGTCGCTAGAATAAAAAGTCAGAATTGCAACATGAAAACTCACAATTGTGACAAAAGAAGCCCGATAAAATAATAAAAAGATAAAAAGTCACAATTAAAATTTTTTTTTGTGGCAGAAATGGGCTTCAATATGTTTGTGTGATGAACAGACTGAAATTCAAGTCATTATTCCATTATTCAAAGCACAAAAATTTAATTTCTTCAGTTCAGTTTAGTAACGACGCATGCAAGGATCAATGCCATTTGGCATCAGTGACATCAAATATGGCAAGCCGCCTGGACACACCATGTATTTGCATCTCAACACTGATGCAAATACAAGTTTTGCAGAAGGTTTTTTTTCAATAACAACCTAAATTTCAGTCAGTTCATTGGAAAATGCATGCTTGGAAAAGTGCATGAGTCTGCTGTTTCGTTTTTAGGTGAACTATTCATATTAAGAGATGGACTGATATAGGATCAGATCTTACAATGCACTTAAAAACATGGAAAAACCGAAAACCGCTTGGTTTGATATAAAATGAACACCAATAAAAGTTATTTTATTGGGGAATGTTAATTTAGCCATGGCTAAAATTCATTGTGAATGAACAACAAGTCTTTACACTTTTGTAAATGAGAAAACAGGCTTTAACACAAAGGTCAGATCAATTCAACCCTACTATAGCTGGAAAATGAGACGTCATTGTTTAATGGAGGAAGGCTGGAAACTCCTAAATGATTTCAAAGACAAATTGCAACCGTATTCCACATGCAAACCAAATACCCACAATCCAATAACCACACAACACAACCAGTCAGATTCATTAGTCATAATCATGCTTATGCAATACAGACAATTCTATTAATTAGCCATTTTATACAACAGAACTAATGAGATTACGGTCTGGTTAGCTTGGTCTAGTTCAGGGGTAGGCCAGTTCGGTCCTAGAGAGCCGCAGTCCTGCAGAGTTCAGCTCCAACCCTGAAAACAAAACTCACCTGCCTATAGCCTTAGTAATCCTGAAGACATTGATTAGCTTGTTCAGGTGTGTTTGATTAGGGTTGGAGCTGAACTCTGCAGGACTGCGGCTCTCTAGGACCGAACTTGCCTACCCCTGGTCTAGTTAGTCCACCATGGCGCAGTTACAAACTCTACCAGCAAAACCCTGACCCCTGTGAAAACTCTAGTCAATCGCAATCAATCAGATTCATTGAACACAATCGCATATCTACAACAGAGCCAATCAGACCCATTACCCACAATTACAGATCGCACAGCAGAACCAAAAAGACCAATTAGCAATCACGCTCGCACAGCAAAATCAATCAGCGTCTCCATTCAGTCCCAGAAGAAAGAAAACAATTTCTCATGTAA